CTATTGTTTATATACTATAAAGAATATTGTTGTAATTTAAATAGAATTTGTTTATTATTAAAGTCATTCTTTAACCTGATTGTGAACAAGATTAAAAACAAACTTTCTAAAACACTTTATTGTTGTGGGGGTTGAATAATTTTGAACAACTATCTCCAAAAACACGAGCAGCTTTTGATACTATTTGTTTTCTACTTATACAATGAATCGCTGGTTCTTTTTTTACAGTGAACCTTTTAGTTTTTTAAAACAACCATAATAAGCTGATGTATAAAACAGAATAAAACAGTTTAAGAGCTACCAACTGAGTTTTATTGGTTTGTTAACAATCAATACACAAATACATCTCTAAATAAAAATAAAAAAAACTACACACTTGTATCGATACAGACACCTAAAGCCCACACAAATATGGCTACTGCTGTCGACAGTTCAGATTACAGTTTATTGGCTTTAAGGAAGTTCACCTCAGCAGTTTGTATTTTAATACACTTTCTGAGGTTGGTTAAGAAAAACTCCTTTTCATCCATCCTGACATGCTGAAAATTGAAGGATTGAAAATTGCTCACAGCGGCAGCTTTAGATTTATTGCAGTGCTATTAAAGACACAGACAGCGTGTGATGTACAGTGCTGAATGGGAAGGCTCCAGTAGGGCTCCAGTAGGGACTCCAGGAGAAACTTTAAGAGTACACAAGTTAACAAATAGGGAAAAAGGTTGCAAACATTRAAAACCACTTCAATATAAACAAGGAAACAACACACGTCCCTTACAAAGCATATGGAATGTACTTCTCACAGGTTAGCTTTTCTAGTTGTTGCCCACCCTCCTGCTGACCGGACCCTCCCTCCCCTCCTTCACATTTGAAACTAAATCTACCAACGATGACTGCAATGTTCAAGTTAATGTAAATAGTAGGATTTGATCATTTTCCCCATGTCCAAATTGACTTTTCTGTCATTATATTAAAAAAAAGTGTCCTCTACAATCAAACCACTAAAAAACTTGTATTTAGAAAATAGTTGATAAAAATATTCCCCTGAATTATACAAGAAAAGAGGTACAGGGAGAACTGGTAGGAGACGGGGCTGGAGTGTTGTTATTCTGCTGCCTCGTCTTCATCAGCGTTTGAAGCAGGCGCCTGCAACAGAAACATGTGATAAATAAATAAATAAATAAATAAATCCAGCAGAAAGACTAAAGTCAAACATCTTTATCAGGGTGTCTGCAGGTTTTAACCAGTCAGATTTTTAAAACCTTGAATGAATTTTAGGAGAAACTATAAAGAAGTGATGTTTGAAGGACTCTGCTGTATTAAAACCAAACAGTGTCAAATATATAAAGATATTCAGCTCTGGTTCAATAACTGGGTTTTACAAACGCAGTCATTTGGTTGGAAACAGCAAAAACTCATCTACTGAATCCATTCATGGCCTGAAACTTAATTATGTTTTAATCTCTGGTTTAGCCTTTTAGACAAAAACAAGTCATTTTTAGTTGTTTTTCTGTAGTTTACTTTGATGTAATATCAGTGTTTTAAACTGAGGGTCTTTGAATTTCGGCTCGTCTCATAACTGAAGGAAACACAGTTCAGGAAGTCCTTTGTGAAGTCTAAACAAACTTTATTATTTACCAGTTTGACAGATTTCTTCCATTCAAACTGATTGTTTACAGTGTTGTAGCTCATGTCTCTGTGCCTTTTAGTTTTCTTTTTTGATCATTTATCAATTATATTTATCAGAGTTCAGTTAGTAATATGTTTCTAATGATTGTTTAGCACATCCAAACACAAAACGACAACAGATTATTAGGGACACAANAGCACCTCTAGTAATATATTTACTGAGAAAAATGGTGACATGTTCAATACTTATTTTATCCGCTGTACCTTGCCCACAGTGTAGATTCCCTGTACCAGAAGAAGCGAAACAGCCCCAGAACATGACTGACCCACCGCCGTGCTTCACAGTAGACAAGGTGTTCTTTTSTTTACAGGCCTCATTCTTTCCTCCTCCAAACGTATCTTTGAGCCATCGGCCCAAAGAGTTCCAACTTTGTCTCATCGCTGCAGAGAACCATGTCCCAAAACCTTTGTGGTTTGTCCACCTGGTTTTTGGCATACTGGGGTCGACGCAGAGGGGTGCGTCTGGGAGTTCTGGCATGGAGGCCTTCATCTCGCAGCGTGCGCCTCATCTGGGCTGAAACCTGAGTGCCTCCCTCTGACAAGTCCTGTGGCAGTGCCTCAGCTGTCAGCCGGGGATTTTTGTCCACCTTTTGTTTCAGGTAACGGACAGCAGTCATTGACAGCAACCTTTCTGCCACGCCCAGGTAGTGTTTGCACTGTGCCTTTAGATTTAAACCTGACTTATGCTTCCAGGTGTGTCTCTTAATGTCTTTGCTATCTTTTTATATCCAAATCCATGCTTATGAAGAGAAATGACCTCATCTCTTTACTTCCTTGATCTTTCCCTGGACATGTTGCAAAGACAGCACTGTGTAGAAAGAGCTGAGTATRTCAGTCCTTTTAAATTTACTTAATTGATGCTCATTATGTCTGTTCACATCTGCAGGTGCTTTCAACACCTGACTGAAGTCACCTGATTGAGACCTCTGTTCCTGAGTGGTCTTTAAGGGGTTGAATTATTTTGTCAGAGGAAATCACAAAAAAAGATATTTAGGTTCATTACACACGTGTATCTAACAATACAGATGTTTAAAATTTATTTTATCAGCTTGTCTTCTGAAGATGCTCTGTGTTGAAG